CCCGGGGCCGCGGCGCGCGTCCGCCGCCTCCTCCTGCAGCAGCACGAGACCCAGCTGCGCCACCGCGCCGGTGCCCGGTCCCGGGGACGCCAGCGCCTCGCGCACCAGCGCCCAGAGCTCGCGCTGCAGCGCCTCGTACAGCAGCGCCACGTCCCGCGCGCGCCGCCCCGCGCCCGCCTCGGCCTCCGCCGCCGGCGCCTCCGCCTCCAGCTCCAGGATGTGCTCGTCCGCTCGCGCCAGCTCGCGCCTCTGGATCAGGCCCAGGATCTCCAGCACTGTGCAGGGGGGGAGCAAGAGAAAGGGTGTCGGGAAGCGGGGCAGACGTCCCAGTACCCGCAAAAGGAGAAGCGGGGGTGCGGGGAATGAGGAGAGAGTCGGGGCGCACCGCTCAACATGAGAAGGTGTTAGGGCTTGGGACAGGTTCACTAGTTCCCTCCAATATGAGAGAGGGAGGGTGACGCTTTGCCTTTGACCTCAGCAATTGCACTCAAGAGAGCAGCCTGGGCTACAAAGTTGAGGACATGTCACAAAAAGCAAACAAACAAACAGGCAAGTGAGATGGTTCAGTGGACAAAAGTGCATGCTGTCAAGTTTAAGGACCCGAGTGCCATCCCCATTTCCAGGACCCACATGGTAGAACTGATTCCTGCAAGGGGTCCTCTGAGCTCCACATATGTATGCGCTGTGACATATACATACACACATCCACGCGCGCGCGCGTGCCCGCGCACGCACAGAGGGGAGAGGGAGGGAGGGATGGAGGGAAGAAGGAAGGGGGCTGCCCAGAATCCCAGCTCTGGGGAGGTGGATGCACGAAGATGAAGAAGCCAAGGTCTATCTTGGCTACATAGCAAGTTCGAGGCCGTTCTAGGAACTACAAGTCTCTGTCTCAAAAATAAATGAACAACAACAACAAAGAGTGAGCGCCCCCAGAAGAGAGTAAGATGAGGGAAGTCGAAGTTGGAAGGGAGAAGATGGAGGACTGAGGCTAGGGGCTTTGGAAATGAACCTGCCTGGGGGGTGGGGAGGCAGAGACCACAAGAACCAGCAAGAAGAGGCACCCGGCAAAGCTGGATGGTGTGGTCTCGCATCTGTCATCCTAGCACTTGGTAGGCTGAGGCAGGAGGATTGCCTTGAGTGCCAGGCTATCCTGGCCTATGTTCTGAGCGCCAGGCTAGGCTGAGCTGCCCAAGGAGGAAGCGGGAGGTGAGGGAGTCAGGGGAATGGGGTGAGGAAGAAGAGACCAGTGACAGAAGTGGCTGGGGATGGAGGAGTGTTCCGCCACAAGGAGGGGAACACACGGGGTGGAGGAAGGGCTGGGATGCAGAGAAGGGTCTCAGGTGTGGCTGGGGGGGGGGGGGGAAAAAGTAAAGGATAGAGACCCAAAGGAGAGGGGGCAAGGGACAGGCTGGGCAGGGAACAATCTATACTGAGCGGAAATGGGGGTCTTTGGTGTAAGAGGTCTCTGAGGACAGGGTCACACTCTAGGAATATGGGCCTCACGACAGAAAGAGGAGGCATAGGTTTGAAAGGCCTTAGGTAGAGGCCAAGGGGAAGGAGGGTCCCGTTGGCCAAGAGTTACCCTCAACACCTCCCCCCCTCCGCTTCCTCCCTGGCAGAGAAGCTATTTCCTGAGCTGGGCTATTTCTGCCCATCCGTTTCCAGAAGGCGGGGGCTCCAGTCACCCCCTCCTCACCTCGCTGCAGTGCCCTCCCAGTCCCCAGGGAGACGGAGCTGAAATAGCCTCTGTCCAGAATGTGGAGGGCATCAGAGGACAGAAGAGGCTCCAGGAAGGTCCCCTGACTCTGATGTGGGGGTGGGGCTGAAACGAAGGGGGTGTTGGCACAGGGCTAGGGAGTAGGACAGAGTTTTGGGGAGGCTGGGGAGAAGGCAGAGTGATGGGGGACATTTTAGTAACGGAGTGACCTTGCCATTGGGATTTGCAGACAGAACAGAAAAGCCAGGTCCTATGGGAGCGGATACATAATCCTGTCTACTGGGGTAGCTGAGGCAGAAGGAAATCTAAATTCAAGGCCAGCCTGGGCTACTTTGTGAGACACTGTCTCAAAATGTGAAAACAATACCAAAAAAACCAAAAACCAAAAAACAAAAAAACGAGCCAAGTGTGGTGGTACACACCTGTAATTCCAGGACTCAGGAGGCAGAGGCAGGAGGATTGCCCCTGAGCTGAAGGCTAGCCCCATTCACAGTGTGAGTTCCAGGCCAGCCAGACCTACACAGTGAGATCTTCTCAAAAACCAAACAGGGGCTGGAGAGACCATTGGAGTTAGAAGCACTGGCTGCTCTTGCAGAAGACTCGGGTTCAGTTCCCAGCAACCACATGGTCCACACAACTGTCTGAAACTTCAGTTCCAGGGGAGCCAATGCCTTCTTTTGGCCTCTGGGGGCACTGTGTACACATGGTGCACAGACATACATGTAGACAAGCTCATAAAATAATAACAGTAGTAGTAACAATAATTGAACAAAACCCCCAACACAAAAGGCTAGAAAGCCATAGATTCACTCTCCTGTGCTGCAGACAGAAAGGGCGGGGCAGTGGTGGTGCACCTTTAATTGCAGCACTCGGGAGGTAGAGGTGGGTGGAGTTTGAGGATAGCCTGGTCTACAGAATGAGTTCCGGGAACACAGAGAAACCCTGTCTAGAAAAACAAAACTAAAACAATAAAAAAAAAGAAAGATACTTGAATTCATATCTTTATATCTTTTGGTTGCAAGTCTATCCTTTAATGACTGAGCCATCTCTCTAAACTGTGTTTCCCCCTGGATTCAAGAGATGGAATTTGGGTTTGCCGGCTTTCCCAACTAAGCTGTCTCACAGGCCCCAGGAACTAAGAACACTGTGGTGATGACAGGTCAGAAGGAGAGAGATGCTGAAGAAGCACTGGGCTATGACACAGGAGTGGGGTTGAGGATGGAGAGGGGATGGGATTATAGGCTGTCTGTCTTCCCCTTGGCAAAGATATGGCTTCCAATGTTCCCATATTCCAAATGTGACCACAGTTTTAGAACTGAGAACTCTCATTTTAGAAGTCAAGGGCATAGGTCTAACCCAAGGATTCATGTCCTCTAAGAACAGAAAACTGAGCATCAGGGAGACAGCTAAACAAGTAAAGGCACTTGCCACCAACCCCCCTGGATGTAGTCAGTAGAAAGAGAATTGACTCTTCCAAGTTGTCTGATTGCCCCCCTCCAGAGACAGACAGACACAGACAGACAGACAGACAGACAGACAGAGGAATGAGAGGAGTCACAGGGACAATCCCACACAAGGATGGAGATTGATAGGATGAATCTACAATTTCAGGATGCCCACATGCCCAGCAGCCAGCCAGAGCTGGCAAGAGGTATGGAAGGGTCCCCTGCAGGTTGCCTGAGTGGCTCGGGGTGGGTGTTTCTGAAAAGCAAGCCTGGACATGACATTGAAGGTGGAGGATGGACACGAGGTTCAGAAAAGGGGCAGGGATGGGGGCTGTGTAGCCTGAGCTCGACTGAGGTGGGAGTGGGGGTGAACTCAGCTTAGGGCCAGGCTGTTCTAGTCCGGAGGAACCTGGCCTGCACTGAGTTTAGGAACGTGGGGTGATGCTAGCTGCGGTTTCAGTTGGTGTAAGACATGACAGACTGACAATGGCCTTTGCAGTTGCTGTTAAAACTTATTTAGTGTGTGTTTGCACACGTTGGGGTCAGAAATCAACCCGGAGAGTCAATTCTGTCCTTCTACCACTAGATCAAACTCAGGTCACCAGGATTGGCAGGTAAGGACCTCCGTCAGCCGAGCCATCTCTCGGGTCCCTTTTCTTTCTCTCTCTTCTTCCTTTGCTTATGTGATTTATTTATTTATTTATTTATTTATTTATTTATTTATTTATTTTAATTAAAAAAATATTTTTTGGGTTTTCGAGACAGGGTTTCTCTGTATAGCCCTGGCTGTCCTGGAACTCACTCTGTAAACCAGGCTGGCCTCGAACTCAGAAATCTGCCTGCCTCTGCCTCCCAAGTGCTGGGATTAAAGGCGTGTGCCACCACCGCCCGGCGGGCATGCGATTTCTTAATAAAATTTTCATTTATTACTATTGTATGTGTGTTGGGGAATGTGTGCTCATCTCTCTGTGTGTGTGTGTGTGTGCGCGTGTGTGTGTAAACGCGTGCGCGCCTGTGCGCCTACATGAGACAAATCGAGACAGAACCCCCAGGGTTGATAGATACAACGGTGAGACAAGGCGTCTCCATCCCGGGTCTGGATCAGGAGTCCCCACTCACCTGACAGTGGTTCTTTTATTTTGGGAGGCTCCGGAACTTTGGGTGGGGGCTCAGGGGCTGCTTCGCCTGCAGGTACCAGTCTCTCTGCCAGGGATGCCCGCCGGGGCTTGGGCCCACGCCCGAGTCTCAGGAAAGCAAGTCTTCTAGCCGCTTCCCCAGCTGGCTCCTCATCGCCATGGGTTCGGAACCCCTGAAGCCGGTTTAGGAGGCCGAAATCCGCTGAGCTCCTCCGTATGCCCGGTGCCAGCACACGGCCCAAGAAGGAGCGGACTTGCCCATCTCCGGGGCTGCCTGCCCGCCTGCCCGAGGTCCAGCCTAGCCGGAAGGGGGCCAGACCAGCCAGCTTCTCCAGCGTGGCCCGCCGGCGGCATGATGTCCCATTGGGCAGTGTCCCCAGCTCCCCATCCTCTTCTTCGAGCGTTGGAGTGTCTTCAAAGGGGTTGCGAGAGGACCGCAGGGGCAGAGTCCCTGCTCGCGGTACCTTAGGGTCTCCCACCCCCAGGCTCTTCAGGATTGGCATTTTTGACAGGCTGGCACCTGCAGAAGAATAACGACCGATGTGGTGTTAGTGACATTGTCCCTGTGCTGAGGACTCGGAATAGAAGATGCCAGGCACAGGTCTTCACACTTAGAAACATTAGAGGCGTCAAGCCAGGCATCCTAGCACAACCTGAATTCCAGCACGGGGAGCTGAGGCAGGGAAATTGAGATCTCGCTCTGGGTAAACCAGGGATGGTATCGAATCTCAAAACTATGAAAACAAAGCTGGGTATGGCAGTAACCCTCTGCAATCCCAGCATTGGGGAGGTGGAGGCAGGAGGATCACTCAGCCTTGGATACCCTGTGAGGATTTTTAAAGTCAGTTTGAACTAAACTATATGCCTTTCTCTCACTCACACATAATCAATCTCTCTCTCTCTCTCTCTCTCTCTCTCTCTCTCCCCCTCTCTCTCTCTGTGTCTCTCTCTGTGTCTCTCTCTGTGTCTCTCTGTCTCTGTCTCTCTCTGTCTCTCTCTCTCTCTCTCTTCCCCTCTCTCTCTCTCTCTCACACACACACACAACACACACAGAGCTAATGATATTTAGACAAAAGGTATGTGTGCAATAACATATCCTAGAATCTCAGCACTCAGGAGACAGAAACAGGCGCATGGTCTACATAGTGAATTGCAGGCCAACAAGACTAGATAAAACCCAGTCTCACAACAAGCAAACAAATAAACAACAATTACTAGCGAAACAAAAAAATATAATGGAGGTTTGACTCCGTGGTAGAGCCCCTGCCTAGAATCCCCCAGTGAGGGGCTGGGGGCGTGACTCAGTGGTAAAGTCCCTGCCTAGGATCCCCCAGTGAGGGGCTGGGGGCGTGGCTCAGTGGTAGAGCCCCTGCCTAGAATCCCCCAGTGAGGGGCTGGGGGCGTGGCTCAGTGGTAGAGCCCCGAGCCCCTGCCCAGCGTGGACAAGGCCCTGAATGTGATACTCAACACTGCCAAAAAGCAAAAACCGTACTAGGTCTCGAGATGTACTCTGGGCAGGCAGTGGGACTACAGCAGTGACTAAGTTATACCAGGCTCTGCCCTCACAGGGTCCACACCATCCCGAGTCCTGTCCGTCTCTACGTCTTCCTCTCTGCTCCTTTATCCCTCCCTATGTCCACTTCACAGTTGGATCCTATGACCATTTCTCTGCCCCAAACTCGGGTGTTTTTCAGACGGCAGTACAGGCTGGACTGAAACTTGCTGTGTATGTAGCTTAGGATGACCTCAAACTTAAAGTGATTCTCCTGCCTCAGTCTCCTAGGTGTGACTACAGCGGTAAGGTTCTTTTAATTTTTGAGACAGAATTCATTTAGCGGAGGCTAGCCTCGAACTCCCGATCCTCTGCCTCCACTTCCTGGATTCCAGCAGTCATCATGCCCTTTCAGTTTCACGGCTCTTGTAGGTCAGCTCTGAAGACTTCACATAGCGTCAACCTGACCCTTCCTCTCCTGAACTTTTAATAGCTCCCCACAGCCCTTGGTACGATGTTCAAGCCGCCCCCTCCTCCATCATAGCCCAGGGCTCTGCCATCTGTACACTGGAACTAATAAACCTTTTGGTTCCTTTTCCCTGAGTCTCATGTCTGTCTGTCTTCCTGCACGGAGCTAGCTCTCCACGCTTTGGATCTTGGTTCCAAAGCTGCCTCCTCCAGGAAGTCCTCCTGAGACTGCTGGGTCTCTCTCTCTCTCTCTCTCTCTCTCTCTCTCTCTCTCTTTTGTTTTTCGAGACAGGGTTTCTCTGTGGAGCCCTGGCTGTCCTGGAACTCACTCTGTAGACCAGGCAGGCTGGCTTCAAACTCAGAAATCTGCCTGTCTGTGCCTCCTAAGTGCTGGGATTAAAGGCGTACACCACCACTGCCGGGCACTACTGGGTCTCTTATAACCCTTGGGCTCCCTGAGTTCTCTCTGTGACTATCCCTGTCTGGGGACAGGTCTGCATCCGGACTGAGGGCCTGGCAAGGGCAGGGCTGGGCCTGTGTCATTCTCGCTCTGGCTCAGATCATGGCTCAGGCACTCTGGAATGGGTGCTAACAGGAAGCAAAGGAAGGAAGGAGGCAGACAGTCCATTCCTTGGGGGGGAGGAGGTCATGAAGAGCAGGCCACACAAGACCTGAACTCTGTGACAAGGGACTTGGATTGTTTCCCAAGGGCATTGGTGAGCCATAGAGGCACTTCATGTTACCTTATTTTCTGCATTGTGTGTACGACTCAGGGGCCTGGTGAATGCTGGGCCCGTGGTCCAACACCGAGGTGTAGCTCAACCTGGTGTCATCATTTTATCAGTAGTGTGCGTGTGCGTGCGGGTGTGTGTGTGTGAACGCAGTCACCAGAGTGCCACAGCGCTCATGTAGACATTAAAGGACAACTGTGGTCATCAGTTCTCACCTCCCAACGTGGATGTAACTCAGGTGGTCGACCTTCGCAGCCAGTAAGTACCTTTCCCCACGAAATGTTTAGAAAAGTACTAAAAGCAAAATTAATGTTCTGGTGCAATAGCTCACACACGTGATCTCAGAGTGTCTGTCACCCCAGGTGAAAGCCAGCCAGGGCGACGCTGTGACATCTAGGATAAACCTGGGATGCAGAGTGAGACCTTGTCTCACAAAACACCAAAGCTGGAGGCTGCGGAGGCAGCTCAGTGATCAAGAGCACCACGTGAGGACCAGGGTTCGATTCCCACCACCCACATGGCAGCTCACAACCATCTGAAACTCCAGCCCTGGGGGGACCCAACGGCCCTATTCTGGCCTCTTTGGGCACCAGGTATGCAAGTGATGTACAGACAGGACCTGCAGGCAGGACGTGCGGACACATAAGATAAAATTAAAATGAAGAAGAGGGCGTGGCTTTCAGCGGCTGTAATTTGCCATTGGGCGCTTCCCTCTTTGCTTAAGGTCACGGACTTGTGACCTTTACGGATGCGATGCGTAGCCGCACCTGCTCCGGTTCCCTTGGTTTAAGGGCTGCGTAGTATTCCAGACAAAATTGGGTAAATAAACCATTAAATACCCACTTTTTCTCCCCCGTGCGATAGACCCAGAGGTGGTTTTGAACTAAGCAAGTGTGTGAAGGGGAAACTGGAGAGGCATGGACCCGTGGACAGGACGCCTTAGAGAGGGAGGCTGGCTGGGGGGAGGAGGAATCTTCCAGACTCTCCACTGTACCTTCCCAGTTCTTCTGTTTCTAAGACATACTGTTGTCGACCTCCCTCCAGTCTTCTCGGTCCCCTACCCCCAATGAGGCAGTCGCCATAGCGACGCTTTGTTTGGAGCCCCCCATGGCGGTGTAAAATCGATGCGCGCTGCGCTACCCCCACCCCACATGCACACAACACTGTACACACACCGATTTATTAGTCTTCCTTTTTCTGGAAGGCTTCGCATGCCTCACCCAAAAATGGCTGGGGAGGGAGGGGGAGTTGGGGGAGAGAGGATAGCGAGTGGCCCAGTGGATAGAGGCACTTGTCACCAAGCCTAACAACCTGAGTTTCATCGCTAGGACTCATAAGGCAGAAGGTCTGAATGAACTACAGAAGCTGTTTTCTAACCTCTGTGTGCGCGCTGAGGCTACGCTGCTCGCGCTCCCCCCCCCCGCCCCCCCCCCCTCACACACACAGAAACTGTAATGAAACTTATTCCCTCCCTCTTTCCCAGTAATGGCTCTAATACCTCCATCCCCGTAACTGCTGGATTCAACCGAATCTAGTCCTGCCCAGACTTTATCTGCCACTCCCTCCACCGGTCTAGCCCCCACTCCCAAAGCTGGCTCTGGTACCCATCAAACTGTTCCCAGCATATTCCCAGCACATTCCCGAACTGGCAGCAGTCTTTACCCCAAACCTCCCCCCCCCCCTCCCCTTCCTGGCTCCGACACCTCCCTCTGCAACCTGGCTCCGACATCCTGCCCTGTCCAACGCCCTCCGCTGCCTCCCGGTGCCCAGGCCCCTGACTCACTTCCGAGCCTAGCTCAAGCCCCCAGCCTCCGGCTTTTGCAGGATGTCTAGGCCACCAGCGTTTCCCTCTCCCCGCCCCTCCTCCTCTTCCTCGCTACCAGTCTTTCTCCAAAGCCTCCTCTTCAGAATTCCTGACACCCTCAACACCCCCAACATGGAGCCGGGTGTGGTGGCGCGACCTCCTGTAATCCCAGTGCCCGGGAGGCTGGGGTCGGAGGACAACATGCTTTTGAGATGCTTGACATACGGGTTCCCTAGTGGGAACCTGTGTACAGATAACCTGAAAGGGAAGACTATGCCTTTAATCCTGGCAACTCGCGGTCAACCTGAGTCACGTGAGATCAAAACATCAAAAGCCAAGGCAGGGGATGTGGCTCAGTTGGTAGAGTGCTTGTCTAGCTTGCAAGAAACCCTGGATTCCCAACCCAACAGCGGTGCAGGCCTATAATCCACGCACTCTAGAGAGGGAGCGCAAGACCAGAGTGTCAATCCTTGAGCGAACAGAAATTTGAGGTCAGCCTGAGCAACATGAGACTCTGTGGGAATGTCCCCCCACCCACCTTGGTTTTTCTAGACAGAGTTTCTCTTGTAGCCTTCAGTGTTCTGAAACTCACTCTGTAGACCAGGCTACTAGCTTTGAACTCACAGATCCACTTGCCTCTGCTTCTTGAGTGCTGGGATTAAAAGTGTGCACCACCACTGCCCAGCGGAAAAAATTATTATTTTTTTTTTAAAACCTCAAGGTCTATGTTCGGAAACTGCTCCTTTCAGGTTAAGCCTCCTTAAGTCTGACTCTAACTGATCATCCGCCAGGGCAGCCTCTATGTCCAAGCCTAGCCTCGCTTGCTCGCTCTCTCCCTTTATTTTAATTAACTAATTAGTTTTGTGTGGGCACGCACGCTGTGGTCTGTATGTGGGGTTCAGATATGAACTTGCAGTAGCCAATCCTCTCTGCCTTGTGGATCTCAGGGACGGAACCCAGCTCCTCAGGGCAGCAAGCGTCTTTACCTGCTGAGCCGTTTTGACAGCCCTCCTTTCCTTTTTTGTTTGTTTGTTTGTTTGTTTGTTTGTTTTTCGAGACAGGGTTTCTCTGTAGCCCTGGCTGTCCTGGAACTCACTCTGTAGACCAGGCTGGCCTCGAACTCAGAAACCCGCCTGCCTCTGCCTCCAAAGTGCTGGGATTAAAGGCGTGCACCACCGCTGCCCGGCTCTCCTTTCCTTTCTATTTATCTATTTGTGGAGACAGAGTCTCAATCTGTAATCCAAGCTTGTTCAAACTGGTCAGCCTCCTGCCTCAGCCTCCCCTCCCTAGCGCTGGCCCTGCAGGTGTAAAGAGTTCTGTAGCCAGGCTTTCTGGTTGCTGCAACCCTCCTCACTGGAGGCAGCCGGGCACTGGATGCCTGCCCAATGGGGATGCCCCCTATCCAGCATCAGTGTGTCAGCGTGCATTCAACCTAACATCCCCATCCCCTCAGCTACGCGTGGTCCCCAGATCTCTACACAGTTTTTCTACCTCTCTGGAACCCCAGAGACCTCCAGGTCTTGGCTGCCCTCTCCCTTCCCCACCAAGGCACTCACCAAACCCAGCCTTCAGCCTGCCTCTGCTCACCCAGCCCTCCTGCCTCCAGCATTCTGGGTTCTGATGAGGCCTCCCATTTTTGAAAGAAGTTGGGGGCATGCATTCTTCACCCCAACACTCACCTTCTGTCTGTGCCTGTCCTTCTGTCCCCTCTTGCTGTCCAGTCCCCAGACTACTTGGGCCAGAACTGCTGAGAGCTTGGATCTGAGGGGGGGGGGGTTGGAGGAGGACTATTTCCTGTCAGGAAGCCCCTCCCTCCCTAGGGCCAGGGGCTGGAAGGCCCCATTATCTGTCTGCCCTTCTAGGCCAGGCTGTGTTTGGGCCCTGCTGTGACAAGGGCCACAGACCCCTGCCCCCGCCCTTACCCCCCTCCCAGCTTTGCCGGAATCCACCCGCCCTCCTGCCTGCTTTTCACGCCTCCTAAGGTAACAACATCATCCTGTATACCCAGGGGAGACACCCTGAGCTGGACTGGGGCCCACAGCTGAGCTCTAGAGTAATGGAGGTGTGGAGAGGGTCTTAAGGGAGCATGTGTCTCTCTTGTATCCTCTGCTAGGGGAACAGGATTCAAAGGAAGCCCCACTGGTCTCAGAGGCTGGGGCTGGGGACCCAGTGGGATAGCCCTGGCATGGCTTTTAAAATGTAGCTCTCAGCTGGGTGGTGGTGGCGCATGCCTTTAATCCCAGCACTGGGGAGGCAGAGGCAGGTGGGATCTCTGAGTTTGAGGCCAGTCTGGCCTACAGAGTGAGTTCCAGGACAGCCAGGGCCTCTGTAGCAGGATTCTGACTGCCCTGCTGCCCTGTAGGCAGTCTCTTGGCTGGCCAGTTTCCCATCATAACCACAGAGCACATTCCATCAGATGATGTACTCAACTCTCTGTCTCCTTTTGTCTCTTTTAAGACAGGGTCTCACTATGTAGCCCAGGCTGGCCTGGAACTCACGGAGATCCTGCCTCCCAAGTGCCGGGATAGAAGGCATAGGCCACCATGCCTGACTCTTCTTTGCATGTGTGTGTTGGGGGTGAGGGTGGAGTGTTGGGGAATTGAACTCAGGACCCTGCGCACGATGGTCATGTTTCCCAGTCCATATCTGTCTCCTTTACAGACCCCTCAACCTGCCCATTCCAGTGTGGGTGCAGTGAATCTGACTTTTTTTTTTAAAGGTAATATTTATTTATGTTTGTGAGTGACTACAATTCAATACAAGTGTCACATGCATTCCGCGCCCAAGCCGACTAGAAGGAGACAGGTCCCCTGGAACTGGAGTTACAGATGGTTGTCTCCTACCCTGTAGTTGCTGAGAGTTGAACCCTGGTCCTCTGCAAGAGCAGCCAGTGCTCCTAACCACTGAGCCATCCATCCTCCAGTTCCACATTCATACTTTTATGCCTTGCATTTTGATGGGTCTTTGTGCACTCACAGGATTGCAGCAGAAAGCGCTAGTATCTGATTCCAGAACATCTCCGTGTCCTTGAAGAGAACCCATGGCAGCCCTCCCTCTCCGGCTTCCCAAAATCTGAGGAAACCAGGAATCCAGGGCTCCTGTTTCTCCGTGAAGTCTCCTGCTTTTGAATATTTCGTAGGAACCATATTGTATGGTGTGACCTTTTGTGTCCGACTCCTTTTACTAAATGTAACATTTTCAAGTTTCATCCACTTTGTAAGCCTCAATCTCCACCCCTTGGAAATGGAGTTTAGGAAGCACTGGAAAGGGGAATAGAAAGACCCTGAGTGAGAAGAAAGGCAACCATCTGCCCCCTGGTGGTATATGTGAGTACTGCAGCTGTCAGATCCGGATCATACCGCCTCAGGGACCCTATCTTATCCTGAACAAACCTCGGAGCTACAAAGCTCCTAGAAACACACCCAGAGCCCTTCCCTCAATATTTTCTAGTTCCCACTTTTATTTGTTTATTTGAAAGCAGGGTCTCACCATATAGCCCAGGCTATCCTGGAACTCACTCTGTAGACCAGGCTGGCCTCAAACTTAGAGATCTGCCTGCCTCTGGCTCCCAAGTGCTGGGATGCCAGGCATATGTTACCAGCTTGGCTTGAAGCATTTTATCTATACATGCAGTGTGGTTTATAGTTACATCTTGGCTGCACTATAACCAAAAAAAAAAAAAAGAAAAAAGAAAGAAAGAAAGAAATAACCGCAGCTAGATGAGGGTTCTGGGCTGGAGAGATGTTTCAAGAGTTAAGAGCACTGACTGCTCTTCCAGGGGTCCTGAGCTCACATGGTGGCTCACAAACATCTGTAATGCACTCCAATGCCTTCTACCAGTGTATCTGAAGACAGCTACAGTGTACTCATGTACATTAAATAAATGAATATCTATAAAAAAAAAAAAGAACGAGAGATGAGGGTTCAAATTCCTAGCACTTGTGAGTCTGAGGCAGGAGGATTGAAAGTTGGAAGTGAGCCTGTGCTACAAAACCATGCCAGGTGTTTGTCTCACACAAATAAGTTCAGTATTTGAGATGTGAGACAAGAGGTTGGCCTGAAGTCCAAGGTCAGGCTGGGCTGCAGAATGACACCCCGTCTCAAAAAATACTTACCTGGCAGGGGAGTTACCGTGATCGATAAGGTGGATTTCTCAGGGCGAGGTCTCTCTGGGTTGCTAACCCCTCAATTTCCCCAATGTGGAACTGACTGCATAGTGGTAGGAAGACTGCGTTCTCCAGTTAAAACAAAAGAAAACAGACCACTCCCAGAGTTCTCCAGTTCAAACAAAAGAAAAACAACTCCCAGAGCTATAACTGGGTGTGGCGCTCACACCTGCAGTCTCAGCCCTCCCTGAGCTGCAAGTAGGAGGATCAAGGCCAACCTCTATAAGGAGGACTTCCGGAAGGCCCGGGTCACGTGATAACCGGTCTCAAATCAAGAAATGCATTGGAGCCGGGCAGTGGTGGCGCACGCCTTTAATCCCAGCACTTGGGAGTCAGAGGCAGGCGGATTTCTGAGTTCGAGGCCAGCCTGGTCTACAGAGTGAGTTCCAGGACAGCCAGGGCTACACAGAGAAACCCTGTCTCGAAAAAACAAACAAAACAAAACATGCTTTTGTTGGCTGCGGGGGTGGGATGGAGTGAAAGCACTTGCCTTTAAGGCTAGTGACCCAAGTTTGATCCTGGACCCACAGAGAGGAGACAACTGACTTCCAAAACTTGTCCTGATACCGCTGCCCACATGCCCCTCCTCCCTAAAGTTAATAAATTGTTCAAATATAATAAATAATCCCAGCCGTGCCACTCACTCTCACTTTGGGCCTTTATAGCTTTTATGTTTACTTTATGTTTTGGGGTGTTCTGCCTCTGTGTGTGTACGTGTATGTACGTGTGTGTGTGGGGAAGCCAGAAGAGGGTGTCAGGTTCCCTAGACCTAGAGTTACAGATGGTTGTGAGTCACCATGTGGGCGCTGGGAACTGAACCCGGATCCTCTAGAAAAGCAGCCGGTGCTCCTAACTGCTGAGCCATCTCTCCAGCATGTCTCCCCCACCTCCCAGTCTTTAATACGATTTGCTTACATGCATGTTTGCATAATTTAACTTTTTAAAATGTTCGTGCTTAATCAGTCCTATAATCAGCGTGCTTGAGCTAGCTCTAGCACGCGGCGGTTAGCCTCTTTCTCTTTTGGCTTTCATTCTGTCTGACAGGGTCTCATGGAGACCAGGCTAGTCTTGAACTCACTGTGTGGTTGAGGGTGATCTGGTGCTTCAAACTTTCCAGGGTCCCACCATGCTTGCAGCATCTGATTTTTCACAAAGGGAAACTGAGGCTCAGGAAGACTTTCTAAGACAGCAAGACCAAGGCCTCTGGAACAGGGTGATTCACCCCTTCCACACACACACTTTCTTTCATTCCTCAAGGCACTGTGTGTTCTCACACAGCCCTCACCCCCTCCAGTCTGTTTGCCCCTGCAAGTCAACACCTGTCTGGGCTTCCAGCTAGCCCGGAAGGCAACAGAGCCTCTCTCTCCTTCATTGTACGGACTGGGAAAGTGAGACCAGCCAGGGCTGCCGGTTATCTACCCTCGCCCCACCCGGGGCTGAAGCTCAGGAAGTCCTTGAACCCCTGACCTTCTTCACCCCAGGGACTGGTTTCAATTTTGACTTCTGTTTTTTGAGACAGTGTTTTGCTGTGTATGGTCTCGAACTCACAGCAATCCATTATTTCAACCTCCTGAGAGTCGGGATGACAGGCACAGAGCCTGCGCCCTCTCCCTCCCTCTTCTTTCTTGCTGCCTCTTCTTTATTCCTTTCCTCGGCAGACTTCCAGTCCTGAAGTTTCTCTTTGTCTCTTTCGTTCCCTCCCTCCGCCTTGCCTGATACTCTCTCCTCTCTGTCTTTGTATCTGTGTCTCTGTCTCTCAGTCTCTCTCTCTCTCTTTGTGTGTGTCCCTGTCTCTGTCCCCTTTCTGTCCTCCGTCCTTTTGTCTCTGTCCTTGGCTTCTCTGACTCTCTTTGTGACTCTGCTTCTTCCACCTCGTGTCTGTGTGTCTCCTTCTCCCATCTCTCAACATCTCCCCCGGCTCTCTCCTCAGCAACTCTCTCGGCCGGGCCGCTGACTCCGATTCTCTTGTGAGAACTTGCTGGAGACCGGCACGCCCAGACCTGCCTCCGCCCCCGGAACCCCGGCGCCAGCACAGGCCTGTGCCTTTAAGAGCCGGCGGCGGGGGCGGAGTCTCCGCCGGCCCCGCCCCCGCGCCCCTCCCCCCTGACGTCCCTTCCTCCCCAGCCCCTCGGTCGCCTCCCTCCGCCGCCGCCCCGGGCCGGCTCCGCGCCCCCTCCCCGGCCCCCGCGCGTGCACCCTCCCGCCTGCCCGCCGCCCAGATGGCGCCCCGGGTTCCCCTTGCGCCGGGCCACTAGGACCCTCGGAGTCCCCTCCCCTCCCCCGTCCTGCCCTCTCTCGCTCTCCCTCCGCGGGGACTCGGGCGTCCACGGCGCCCAGCTTTTGAGCTCGCGTCCCCAGGTCGGCTGGGGGGGGAGGGGAAGAGAGGGGACCCCAGGATCCCCACCCCCCCCACCCGGCCGCCCCTGTCCCTTTCCCTCCTGGGACCCCAGAGAAGATGTCTTCGAGGACGGCGCTGGCCCCGGGCAACGATCGGAACTCGGACACGGTGAGTGGGGCCCAGCCCCTTGGGGAACCCTGTCTGAGTCCAGCCATAGAACCCCTCGCCCTCCCGG